AGACCCCAGTTTAAATGGTTCCAGAAACCTGAACAGAAATTTGATTAGCTAAGACCTAGCCAATCAAGAATGCCCATGAGATGACCATGCCCTCTGGAACCAATCATTGAACTGATCATGTGCCTGGGACTGTTGCCCCTAATTTTGCCTTAAAAATGCATGTGGGAAACACCTCGAGGAGACTGGGTCTTTCAGCAAGAGCTGCGTGCTCTCCTTGCTTTGCACACTTCAATAAAGCTGTCCTTCCCTTCATTGCGCCTTCATCATGCCTACGGTCTGGTGTTTGGGCAAGCCAAGTTGATTTGAGTTTGATAGCAATTTCTAAAGAGATTATTTTACATATGCTATATATTAAAAATGAATTAATCCCTTAAAAAGAGACAGAAATAATGTCCTAAGAGTGGAAGAAAACCATTGTAATTCCATCTTTTAGCTAAGGTTTTATGTGAATACAATCTCAGGGAGACTTTTCAATATAGATCTCTCAGTTTTTTATTCATTCACAAACAAAATTAATTTATGCATTCAATATCCTCTGAAGGGCTCTTGTGTACCCAACACTAGATTGGTTCTGGGTGTGTTTTTTTTTTTTTTGAGAGATTTTCACCATAGGGCGCGTGCGCTTGCCAGACAGACAGAGAGAGACATAGAGACAGAAAGCGAGAAATCACCCCCCAGGGGGGATGGTCACGCCGCAATCCCTTCTCCTCCATTCTCCTCTCGGGATCTTGGGCACGCACGCACATGCGCCCGGCGTGAGTTTTAAGCCACCGGGTCCGGGACGCGAACTGCGGTCGACTACATGGGAGTCCAGCGACATAGCCATTATGCTAACTGCTGGTTCCCGATTGGTTCTGGTTTTGAAAAGACCCCAATGCACAATAAATAGTACATTGAAAATCAAACACTTCAGATGCACACAGCCTAAACTAAATTTCCAAACACACTTGTCAAACCCTCTGTACATATATGGACATCTCCCAACTCAGTTTTTAGACTGAGTTATTAGATGATCTGGGCAAATCTTTTTTTTTAAAGAATTATTTTATTTAAGTTTATTTATTTTGATTTGAACAGAAAGGGAAAATCTGGTTCAGTAGAGCTCAGGTGAACCAGGCTTTTAAGAGCTTAGGAGTCAGATTTTTAAGAAGTACACCAGGGATATCCTACAATCAGCTAAGTTTGGGAAACTCTACGCTGGAAAGAACATAAAAATAAAAAACAAACGGCTGACCAGTGAAAGGAAGATTCTTATTCTCTTGCTGGGGCAGGATGAAACTGAGATGGCTCCATGGCTACCACCGTGGCTACCACCGTGGCGGCCGTGCCTGCTCCTCCTGGCTGGTTTCTACTGACAGAGGGGCCCTGCCCTATGGCCCTCTTTCCTGAGTACCTACCCTCGTAACCTATGAACCAAGAACTGAACTGAACACAGTCTAGGCTTGAGGCCGCATTGTCCTCTTCTTGGCATGCCATCGGGTGAGTCACTTTACAGCTCTGAGTCTCGATTTTCTCATCTGTAAAACGGAGTTGGCGGGTTACTCAGCTGAATTGTCCGAGGGGGCTTGATGACCCTTCAGTTCATGGAAAGTGCCAGCATGGGATCATTACTGGTGAGCTGGTTCTCCAGAGCGACACTCCTGTCCTCACTGACTGCAGTCCTGCCCAGCAAGGCACTTTGCTGATGGGGGTGAGGGGCCGGGTAGGTGGGGGAGATGGAGCCTGGCTGCCCAAGCTTCCTGAAGATGGTCGGAAATGTCTAAAAAGTCAACTTTAGGTAAACATGCCCCAAAAAAATGCTCAACTTTTTTTTTTGGTTCCAAAGTTTTACAGAAAACAAGTTAGCAGGGAATGTGCTTGATCAGGCAATCGGCAGTAAAGATCTTTAATCTTGGCTAAAGATTAACAATGATAACTGACTAAACTGGAAGCTTGTTGTTGGTTAAAACCACTGTATTTTGAAAGGAGAAAGAAAAAGTCGCATTGCCCAGCTCGCTCAGTGGAGGAACAGGCAGTTGTGAAACAGCCCGTCAGAACCATTACCGTCCACTGTGCAGGGACGTGAGCCAGTGCCCACTGCAGCCATGTTAGGGTGCCAGCTCCTCACCGCAGACCTCGAAGATAGCTCCCCTGTTTTGCAGTGACTCAGAGGTACCACCCCAAGATGACACGCCTGGACGGGGTAGTCCTGACTACTCCACGCTTCACGCTCCTTGGAGGCAGAGGCCACGGGTCCCACCAGCTCAGCCTTCTAACCACTTGGCTCGTCGCTAGATGCTGACTAACTTCTATTACACTTGGCTTTCGGCTGCTCATTCAAAGATACTATTCTTTTCTTCGGGGTGTGGCCATACAGGAGGCCAAATTACAGATCAGAAAGGTGAACCTTTGGGAAAGAGATTCTTTCAAAGGGCGAAGTCCTGGTGGATGATGGCCTCCCGTGTGCTCCCTGTACCACCCTGTTGGTCACACAGATGCGAGCCTTCTATTAACTTGCGAATACATGTGATAACAAGCCTTTGTTCATATTTCAGTTCTGAAGATCAACTCGGGGTTTGAACTTATTAAGCAAAATATTAGGATGGCTGAAGTTCACTAAAGAAAATTCTGTGATTTTCACTTGAGATGGTGGCAGTGGCCTATAAAGATGATCGAATACTACCAAGCAGTGATGTTCTGGGCATGCTCACTGGAGTGTTGTACTATGCACTTGAAAATATCAAAAGCTATGAAAATCTTTTACAAATGAACAGTAGTTAACTAAAAGCTTAACAAGGCTGAACTTGGCGTAATGAGATGCAGGTTCGATATATATTCTAACCTAATGGTTTTGCACTTTCTAGACAACAGTCTTCCCACAGTCAGCCCGTTTCTCTCGCTCTCTTTAACATTTCTGCCATAGAGAGACAGAGAGAAAACTCATCCCCAAGGGGGAATGGCCATGCCACAACACCTTCTCCCTCTTCCTCTTGGAATTTCAGGCACACACGCACATGATCGGGGTGATTTGCAAACCACTGGGTCCAGAGCTCAAATCACCACCAGCCACGTGGGAGTCCAGCAACCACCATGCCACCTGCTGGCCCTGTCTCACTCTCTGTTAGTGGACTTCCTCCTGCTGACTTCTTGCTTTTAACCTCACATGAAAAGCCGCCCCCACCCGTGATCATACTCCAACCAAGGCGTCTCCTCACTCCCCGTCACCGACAGCAGTGGAGGTGGATGGTGGGTCTGCCCCAGTGCTCAGTGTTGCCCAACGCCCCTCGGCTTCCTTCGCAGGAGGTGCAGAGGTGGGCGGGGATGCGCCCTCCCAGCCGCCACCATTCTACACTCCCCCTCCCATGGGCTTTTATAAGTGCTTACAGAGCAAGAGCATTCTGAGCATGTTCCTGGCCTCGGTCAGGAACCCTTGCTGCACGGGTTCCTGTCACCACAGATGCCGACCCCTTGTGAAGGCCTAAAAGGTGCCCACCCCTGTGACCCTGAATGCTCAGGGCAATTTGTGACAGCACCTGACGGATCTTCCTCTCCAAACACCACCCCTTTTGCAAGTGAGACACCTGTAGTTCTCAGGGAGAATGGACCTGCATGAGGTCCCAGGAGTTCTTGGTAGATTCTCCATTCATCCTCCCCAACAGCTCTCTCCTCTTAATGTCACGTCGGACTCCTGCACTGTGAGAGATGCATAGCCCCTGAGTTATCCGCATAGCCCGCCCCTGAGTTATCCGCATAGCCCGCCCCTGAGTTATCCGCATAGCCCGCCCCTGAGTTATCCGCATAGCCCGCCCCTGAGTTATCCGCATAGCCCGCCCCTGAGTTATCCGCATAGCCCGCCCCTGAGTTATCCGCATAGCCCGCCCCTGAGTTACCCGCATAGGCCCTGAGTTACCCGCATAGGCCCTGAGTTACTCGCATAGCCCCTGAGTTACCCGCATAGGCCCCGAGTTACCCGTATAACCCCCAAGTTACCCGCATAGCCCCCGAGTTACCCGCATAGCCCCCGAGTTACCCGCATAGCCCCTGAGTCACCCGCATAGCCCCTGAGTCACCCGCATAGGCCCTGAGTCACCTGCATAGCCCCTGAGTTACCTGCATAGCCCCTGAATTACCTGCATAGCCCCTGAGTTACCCGCATAACCCCTCAGTTACCTGCATAGCCCCTTGAACCTCTTACGAAGGCCTGGGCACAGAGGCAAGGCCAGTAAATGGGACGGACAAAGAGAAAATCCAGAGGCGCTCATGCCAGAATCTAGAGGCAGCCAGGGGCGGAGGACTGTCAGAAAAGTGCAACTGGGTTCAGAAAAGAGCCGCGCGCCCGGTGGTTAAGCGCCTGGTGCTGAGGTCACGCAGAGCTGAGCTTTTTCACACAGGCATGGAACAAGCATCTGGTAAGGGCCTACTGGGTGCAAGCGGACAGGACCAGCACGACAGACAGCCCCTGCACATAGGGACAGGATAAAGCAGGGAAACTGCTGATTTCAACGTGCGACAAATGAACAGCACAGGGGTGACAGACCAGGCCTGTGCGCAGGAGGGGGACAGTTCTAGACTTGGGAAGCAGCTCTGAGGCTGTACCCTCAGGCACTCAGATAGCCTTGCTCTGTGGATGGCCAGCTTTGCCACCGTGGGCAGGTTACTCAATCTCTCTGAGCCCCCCGTTTTCTCATCTGGATTATGGAGACATTAAGGAGTCTTGCAGAGTTGAAAGAATATAAACGCAGGAACCAGCAGTTAGCGTAATGGCTATGTCGCTGGACTCCCACGTAGTCGACCGCGGTTCGTGTCCCGGACCCGGTGGCTTAAAAAACTCACGCTGGCCGCGTGTGCGTGCGTGCCCAAGATCCTGAGAGGAGAGGAGGAGAAGTGATTGTGGCGTGATGCGCACTCGCGGGGGGTTCTCGCTTTCTGTCTCTATGTCTCTGTCTGTCTGGCGAGCGCACGCGCCCTACAGTGAAAATCTCTCCAAAAAAAAAATAATAATAATATAAACGCAAACCCACCTAAACCACCTGGCCAACAGCAGCCACTGCGGTCATTCTGGGAAGGGCAGAGACTCGTGCCACTGGGAGGACCGGGAGAACGCGCTGAGATGCAAGGTGCCCTCGGGACGCCACTCTTCCGAGAGCCTACCTGCACGTGTGTTCTAGAACACCGACGGTTCTGGGGCAGGGGCCGGGTGAGCTCTGAGCCCGAGCCCGCTCTGTGCCCAGGGTCACGGCAGATCCAGGGGCGCGAGGGCGCCCGGGTCTGGACACCTGGTCACCTAGCGATCGCACCCCTCCGCGCGGTGGCCCGTCCCCGCCGCAGCCATCTTGGATGTCTTCCCGCCGCGAGTTTCGTCACGCCGCCGCCGGGGACAGCATGGCAGGGCGCGCCGGCGCGGGGATGGGAGCGATACCCCTCCACGAAGACGATCGGGGGACGCCAGGGCCTCAAGACGCCGACGATGGGGCGCTCTCGAGCAGCAGGATGACAGGGGTCCCCAAGATGTAGGGACCCTAGTCCGGGGCATCCTCGCCCGGTGAGGGGGCTCCTGCCCTCGGAGCCCGGGGTC